GCTTTGCTGTCCCTCGGCGAGGTTGGCAAGCAAGCAGGAAAAGCTGAGAACCTGGCTGTCCGGGGGGTCCCTTTAAGCTCGAGCCTCAGATAGCCTCAGACAGCAGCCACACAAAGCAACTACTGACCTGATGCCCTGCCAGAACCGGTTTCAGCTGCCCTTAAATGCCCCCCTGCGTCCAATCAGTGTGGACGCGCTAGTTCGAATTAGCAAAACGCTAATTCGAACTAGTTTTTAGTTCTAGATGCGCTAGTTCGAATTAGCTTAGTTCGAATTAACTAATTCGAACTAAGTTAGTTCGAATTAGCGCTGTAGTGTAGATGTACCCCTCGACAGGTTGGCCCACAGGTACATTCCTAGAGGGTCTTAAAGCAAAAAGTAGCGTAAACAGAACACAGCAATGGCAATTGTGTATAATTTATCAGTGCATCCTCTTGAGCTTGGGTTGGCATCTGTGAGGGACGGATGCCATAACTTATGCTGGCATGCTAGCCTTCTCCCTGAACTCTGGTTGGCATTCTGGGAGTATGTACTTGTTATCTCTTCCTGAACTATGAAGTAGACTCTCTGTGAGTTATGTGCCCGTAACTCATGATATATCCCCAATTACTGCTCCCCATCTGGGGCTGTGCTGTCTTAGCTTGTTTATGGCTGTTTAAACAAAGATGTCTGTTTCTTGCTTATCTCAACTTTTCTTTAGCCATGTATTGTCCATCGTTAACTAGGCCTCATGCCTCAGACCAAGCACGTGGAGTTTGGGCAAATGTGAAAGATTCTTAAGAGACACTGTGGTCAAGATCTTACATACATATTATTGAGATTTTGGCCCTTCTATGAATGGGCCTGGAAGCTGTATACGTGAGCAATTGTGTAATGAATCTTTAATGCCAGCCTGAATAGAATCCAAAACAATCTTGGGAACCAGCAGGTGGTGCTCTTTTACAACAGAAGAAATAAGAGTGTGACACACACACACACACACACACAAAAAGAGACAGTACATGAGGCAGTATCTTTTATTGGATCTACTTCTGTTGATGGGAGATACAAACTTTCAAACTTCACGAAGTTCTTCTGATCTGGGAAGGAAACAGAAACTGGTCCAATAAAATATATGACTTCACCTACTTTCTCTCTCACAGCCTGGAACCAACACAGCTACAAAACCACTCAAAATATAAAAGTAGATGGTTATGGTTGTGTCTGTGTCTCTCTCTCTTTAGATGGCTCTGGATGCATCACTTATTGTGAAAATTATCTGCAATTTATCCTGCCTCTTGTCTTGATGCAGTCTGGTGCAACTCAGCAGCTCAGCCACTGAACCGCAGAAATAATTTTGAGCCAGATATGCTTTGAGCCAGCCCAGAGGGAGGAGTGAGTAATGACACTAGAGGCAGGAGGGAAATCCCATTGCTCTTACATGTTAAGTTTTGATTTTCTTAGATCTGGGTAGTTGCTAGAAGGACAATGGAAAACACTTCATTGCAGGGCTGAAAGAATAAAACACAAAGAAGCTTTGGATGACAGGAGGTAGCTCATACTTTTACTGAGACAAATCCATTTCCAATGCTGGAAGGCCTCATGGTGGCAAAACCAATGTGGTTCTGCTATGCAGAGAGCAATAGAAGTTTGGTAGCTGGGCAGGGGCATGAAAACTCCCATTGCATCAGAAAGTCCGATTGCCCACGGGCTCCCTGAGAACCACTAAGCAACAGAACTTGGGAAGCAGAGCCTGTTGGTCTCCTGCTATTCAATTCCCTGATCCCTACATCTAGAAGCAGCAAGGACACAAACTATACATATCTTGAAGCTGGAGAAGAGGCTACAGAATGGCATGGGGGCATCCTTGTCAACCTGTTCCTAACATATGGAACACCTGTTAGCATAAATGGATGGTACAAACAAGACAACACAAGAATACTTTCACTTAAAACTCAACTTTTCTTAGTCTCAAGCACTTACACACAACAAGTTAGTAAAACCCCACCCCCTCAATAATTACCAAAGTTGAGTGATACTGGGAAGGCTTCCAATGACTAATCTTCCGTCTGCCAGTGGGGACCGAAGAAGTGTCCCTAATGAGTCTTGAAAGTGTCCAACCATCCCAAATTTTCCTTCCCTATATATCCATTAGTCTAACAATAACACATCACTCAAAAACTTATTAGGCAAGCACTTTTTAAAAAGGTTGGTTTTCTTCTGATCATCAGTTTAGTCAGACGTGGGGTTTTTTTAGAGTCTTCATGCCCAGGAGCCCTGGTAGATATATGTCTTAGGGCATCTAGACAAGCTTCCTGTTTTTCTAGATGTACAGTTCAGCAATTTCAACAGAGATCTGGCCCTCAGGAAGGATGCAGGGTCAAGATGACCTCTCTATGGCACTGCAGCCCCTGTTTTCTGCCTCCCCAACTTGGTCATGCTGAAACTGCTGTTTAGTTGCTAAAAGTTAAGCAATGAGCAATAGTGGTTCAAGCACTTTACTGGATTTGCCGAAATATCCCCATACATGCCCTGCCATCTGTCAGATCTCAGCAATGCCTGCCAAGTCACAGACTTTAATTTTAATTAGCTAATATAAGGCTGAAATCTTTCTAACCACTTATGCATCAGACAATGTGAACTGAAGAGCTGTGGAAGGGGGCAAATTATTTGTTTCTGCAATTTACTGTAATCTTTTATTTGGCTAGTGAAATCTTATTTGTTTTGTTTTTAAAGACTGAATAAGTTACACATTGTGAATTCCCCTCCCAACTCCAACCTCTTTTCAGACTCTCACACTTCGGCTTCTCGGCTTTAGCACTGGCCTCTTTAGTTTGTCCTTTTAAGACTTTTTAGAGGACATTTTAATGTTTAAAATGCATTTTAATATGAGATCAAGGGGATTTTTTTTACTACTGCAGCTCCCTGGTCCTGGAGTATGAAGAGGCTGTGGAAATGTTAATAAGTTTTGCTAGGGGCGTTCTTCCTTGTGCATTATTGAAATTCCAAAAATTGGTTTTGCCTGTGTAATAGCTATACAGGGATGGTTAACGGTTTTGTATATTAAGATCAGATATCACATTGGAGACTGTATTAAATCCAGGGATAATTACCTTTCTTTTATATTGTATGTTTCATGACCTTTGACTGCTAATTGTCCAGGAGAAATTAAAAGATTGCTGCCCAGACATCAATAATGCTCCAATTCATACATTATATGGAAGGTATTTTTATGGAAGGTATTTTTTAATGTCAGAGGAAACAAACCCTGATCCAGAATATAGCATAAACAAGGGCCTAACTTTAAGTTTCATAGACTTCAAATGGGGAAAACACACACACACACACACACACACACACACACACACACACACTAACACATGCACTCATACACTGAGGCTACGTTTACATTGCAGGCTTCTTGTACAAGAACTGTTTTACGCAAGAGTTCTTGTGCAAAAGGTCTTCCACACTGCCATGTACTTTTGTGGAAGAGATGTGCTTTTGTGCAAGAGCGTCCATGGCAGCGTGGATGTTCTCTTGCGCAAGAAAGCTCTGATAGCCATTTTAGCCATAGGGCTTTGTTGCGCAAGAATCCCGTTGCCTGTCTACTCTGTCTTCTTGTGGAAGAGCTCTTGCGCAAGAGGGCGTATTCCTCATGGGGAGAGGAATAACTCTTGCACAAGAAGCTCTGTTTTCTGATGCTTCACTGTAAATGTACTTGCACAAGAACGCGCGTGCAGTGTAGATGCTCTGCAAGTTTTTGCGCAAGAACATTTGTTAAAAAGGCTGCAGTGTAGTCATAGCCATAATGTACATAGTAGAGATGGACTTAGGCATGTGTTTAAGAACTTTGCTAGATTGTTTGTTGAGACCGAGGTGTAAAGTGTCGAATTTTAGCATGAATGACAGTTCAGAGGATTCCCTTTCAAGTGCAGATTTGAAAGGTCTTTGAAGCAGGATGCAGGTGAGTAAGTCGTTGAGACAATGTCCTTTCTAGTTGAAATGGAAAGAAACTTTTTTCTTTGTGATCTGGTCTAATATCTGTTTTATGGGCATTGATCCTTTGGCGAAGTGTCTGAGACATTTGTCCAACGTACATAGCAGATGGACACTTTCGGCACATGATAGCATAAATTATATTTCTGGATGCACAGGAATGTGTGTTCGTGATCTTATAACTCACTTGGTTCATGCTAAAATTTGACACTTTACGCCTCGGTCTCAACAAATAATCTAGTTATCTTACCCATTACAAAGATAACTTCCCCAATTATCATCTCTAATATCATTAGCTCACAGACATTTACCTCCCCCCCATTCCCCTTCTGTTCTGAAATTTGATTTGTCCTTTTCATATGTGTTCATTTTTTTAAATTGTATCTTTTGGTACATATGGTTGTGACTATTTTCTTCCACTATTTGATCTGAGGAAGTGGGTCTGGCCCACGAAAGCTCATCATCTAATAAACCATCTTGTTAGACTTTAAAGTGCTATATAGTCCTGTATTTTGCTTCAGCTACACCAGACTAACACGGCTACATTTCTATCACTATTCCCCAAAGGCTACAGATACTGTATGGCTTTTGCCAGAAGAGGCAATGCAAATGAAGTGCTGATAAGCATTTTCTTGCTCTTCATTTGCATAGTTGTGCAAAAACAAGCAGTGTGGATGTTTCCTTTTTGCACAAACACACCTTTTTGTGCAAGATCCTTATGCCTCTCCTCAAGATCATTTCAATTAATTAATAACATATTTATAACTATGGATATTTAAATTGTAGTAGGATATAAGGGTAGAAATAAATCACATCAACACTATTGAAACACCACGTTGGCTTTTGCCCCATCAAAAAAAAAATGGTCACAGTCGACACATTCATTTTGACACAATTACGATAGTGGAAGTTTCCATATTTTAAGTCTTCAGTTTTGGCTTGATTTTTGTAACCTTGAGAAAATTATGATGGAAGGACTAGTAGCAGATCATGACAGGTGAGACAGAACAGTGAGACAACGGATAAATAGTGTGTGGCAGATCACTGGAAGGTCAACTGTTGAGAGCTCCAAATTTGTGGTGGATCTGGACAGTGTCTGAAAAGTCTGCTATAATGTCACAGATATTCAGACATGAGTAAATAGATTTACTTTACTTCTTCAATGAGGGCTACAAAACAAGGTCAGTGGGATTAAAGTGATGAATATTTATCACTAAAAGGCCTTAAGAGTCAAATGTCCATAAGCACACTGGTTTAGAATCAATATAAAAAAAGGATATGAGAATTTTTTTCACTTTCCTACCTCAATGTATTCCGAACTTGAAGATTCCTAACTGACTCAGTTTTCCTTCCAACTAGAGCTACTTGAACTCCAGGGGATCTTGATAACAGTTTTCCATACTTCACTATTAGTGACACTCACCCAAGATTCCCTAATTAAGCCTTCCAACACCCCATTTTACAGACTAACAAGGTGAGTCATAGGGGGTAAAGCAACTGACCTCAGAGAACAAACAGAGCCTGGAGCAAACCCACTAATTGAAACTCCCAGAAGAGCCTGGTTCTCAGGCCAGCACTCAGCCCACACTCAATTTTCAGTCCCATCTTCATCCCCTCTGTAAGGCCACTGAAGCATGTGATGAGTTTAGCACAAACCACCACCTAGGTTGCCAGGGTTCACTGAGATTGTCTATGTAAGCCAATCTGCTTGCAGGTTTTGATGGACATGTCTGGGTTCTTCTGGATCCCGCCACCCACTCAACTTTCTTTCTTCCTATGGATTTATTTGGCGGTGCCTCCATCCCCCTCACCCCTTCCTGGCAGGGTCACCAGGGCAGAAAGAGGAAAATTCTAACCCAGGGTAATTCCCACGTACTTGCCAGATAGTTGGAGACTCACAGAAAATAACACAAACACGTACACTATATTAAACACAATTATATTAAACAGGAGACAAATATAACATAACAGGGTAAAACACTATTTTTAGGTTCACCGGTGCCCAGCAACTGTAAGGTTAATGTCCTGTTGGTACGCGTACTTTGTTGGGGTCCTTGATGACTTATGACCACAAAATTCTTCTCTGCAGTGGTTTACACAGAAAATAACACAAACACGTACACTATATTAAACACAATTATATTAAACAGGAGACAAATATAACATAACAGGGTAAAACACTATTTTTAGGTTCACCGGTGCCCAGCAACTGTAAGGTTAATGTCCTGTTGGTACGCGTACTTTGTTGGGGTCCTTGATGACTTATGACCACAAAATTCTTCTCTGCAGTGGTTTAGCACCGAGGCTGACTGGGTCCAATACAGCCCAAAGGACTCACAAGTGGGGGAAGGTGGTAAATCCCTCCATAGGTTTAATATGCAGCAGGCTATAAAATC